ATTCCCCTATAAAGCAGCATCTGTATTCACCTTTTGCTACTCATGGGGTGAGATTCGAGTTTTGCTACAATTGCTTCATTTGTTTTACGAAGGATATCTATACCTCACCAGTAGTTATCCTCTGGAATCCCGCTAATTGTCGATACAAATGCATCAATATACCCTCTGAGTGCTCCAAATTTACTCATCTAAAACTCGGGTTTCATCAACAAAGCAACGAATATAAAATTTTGAAAGTCCCTTTTCAGACATATCTCACTTATACGAACTCGTAATTGTGCAAACTTGGTGGCATTGGAAAGATAATTCAAAGATCTTTTCTAAGGTATCTGGAAAAATACCTAACTCATCCTGATCCAGGAGTTATGATCGTTTGAAGTTGACCCAAAACTCATTCTTAACTTAACTCTTGTCAAATTTCCAAATTTTTATTATTTCCAAAATCACTCTTTCAAATTCTAGCTCTTTCTAGTTCTTTCAATTTGCGAGATGTTACAAATCTAGTAATATTCCTTTATAGATCATTTGACACAACATCCTTGAAGCCATGTCAAAAGTTTATTAATGTTGTCTTTTTTTCCTGGTTCACTTGGCACATCAAGGTACGATAAGATTTTTAAGGCCTTTATGTCCTTACAATGACATACCAAATTTGAATTTTGTCTTCAAGAGATGGTAGTATAGATCTTAAAAGGGGTTTTTATTGTACGTTGAACAATTGCAGAAGAGAAAACTTTTCTGAATACTCAATTAACGTATGTTATTTAATCTATACAAACAAATAGTTATAACAATAACTTTGCAGAAATATAAATAACAAAGTTTAAAGCATTGTACTCAAAAATAAAAATTAATAACATAAACATAAATGAATGGCTGTAAAAAAACATATCAGGATCTGTAACAATAGAATGAAATTAAAAGGAAAAAATCGAGTCGACTGAATGCACAATGTCGCCTTCAGTAAATTATTCCCCTCTAGTTCCCTAGGTTTAAAGAATAAATCCTCTCAAGATAGAACGATTCTATTCACCAGTGTACTGATACACAAACAATGGTGGCAGTGAGCCACTCAACACGAGCAAAATACACAAATATTTAATTGTGCATAAGAAGAAGAAGTTTAGAATTTTCATTGTTTTAAAATGAGAGGAAATTCCTCTATTTATAGACAATAAATGACAAATGTTTATTGTGTCTTATCAGAAAGGTCACAACTCTTTGAAAAATTACAACCCTTCGAAAAGGTCACAATCTTTCATAAAAGTCATAACTTTTTATAAAAGTCGCAATTTTTAATAAAAATCTCCGTAAAAAGGTTGTTTGTTATTTAAGTGTAACGGTTATTATCCCCATAAAAAAGTTGTTTGTTATTTAAGTGTAACCCATTCCTCAGTAACTTAGCCCATAAGGTCTGAACAAGCGGCCCATTACCAATTACTGGAGCGATATAATATAAATAGTAGCGAATTAACAAAGAGAAGTTGAAAGTGAAAATTAGGGTTTAGTTTATTGTACTAGTTGTTGCCGACGAACGAGGATGATTTACGACGTGAAGTCACCGCTTTTCCAATCGTTCCTGAGCCAGAAGGGAGGTGCATCTGACAAGAGGTACATATAAATTCTCTCGCTAACCGTAAATTCAGTGTTTTCCGATTTATTGTTCATGGAGGTATTATAAATTTATGATTTATGCTGTATTAGGGTTACATTCTCAAATTCATAGCCTAACTTAACACGTAAAGTTTAATAGTTTGTGAGATGGATTTTGCCTGCTTGCAGAAGAAGAGTCCGTCTGTTAGATTTCCTTTTACATTATCTCCTTTTGTTCGTTTCCTTTTAGGTGGAGGCGTTGAATAGATTTTATATATAAATTTCTCGATTAGCTCTACTGTATTGTGAGCTTTGTATAAATTATTCAATTTGTTCTGCTCTATTGCATAGCAGCGGTGAGTGTAACCGCTAAGTGTTTGTGTAAGACTGAAATTTTGATTTTTTTTTTTTTTTTTTTTTAAATAAGCCACCTCAATGGTGGGGGGTTAGGCAGACCCCTACCTGTTCATATCTTGAGCAAAAAGTTTTACAAGAGGAGGAATATGGTCCTTTCCTCTATGTGGAATAATGAGAACTGAAATTTTGATTCAGTTTCAGAAATAATTCGATTAGGAAACATCTTGATTTTTGCCTTTTTCTATGCGTATATAGAAACTGAAGCAATCTCAGTCGTAGTGATGAGATATTTTCCTACTAGATGTCATGTTTCTGATCACGTAAGCGTCTCATGTTGCTCTTGAAAAATATCTCCAGGTGTGTCAATCCTCCAAAAGCTACCCTCTTTGGGAGGGTCTAAAACACGTGTGCCAACATTTTTGCTCTAAGTGTATTATTGAGAACATTCCTGTATCTTTAGCTAATGTAGTTTTTGTGTCCACTTGTTCCGTGTCAACAGCCTCACTCCATACCACAAAGCATTTTACTAACCTTTTTGTTTAATTCTACAGGAAAACAGAAGAGCAGAAGCCCAAGGAAAAGAGGCCAAAAGCAAGTGAAAACAAGCCTGTTATGAATGAATGATGTAAACTTATTTTAGAATATCTGGAAAATGTTGAATTTGTACTGCATTTGACATTTAAATACATATTTGATCCTTTACTTCTATTGGTTTTAATTTCCGATCCAAGCTTTTCATTTTGGGACTAATTAGTGTCACGTTTGTGGTTAAATTTGTAGTTTAACTAAGTTTTAGAACTTGAGAATCTCTAGTGTAACCATTGGAAGTAGGCTGTTCATTTTTTTATGGTTAAAAACCAAACCAAATTGCAATCCGATTAAAAAATATTAAGAATTTTTAGTACTCTCATTATTGTCTCAATTTATACATAAATTCTTTTTTAATCAATCTAAAAAAAGACATATTTCTGTATTTTACAAAATTTTAATAACGCCATCAATATTTTATAGTATTTTACGTATGCTGGATTCTCTTATTTGACAAAAAGTCTATAAAGATATTATACTATTTTAAAGAATAGTTTTGAAATATTGCAAAATCTTTTCATATTTTTTACATTTTGTATCCAATCAAATTTAACTACATAATCTCAGACTGAGTGAAAAGTTTTTGTTTTTATTGACGTAGCAATAAATCGATAAAGAAAATTATTGATTATTATTTTGATATTAACAAAAGCCAGGCCAAGACAGGTCTTTCCTAGGTCTTACTCCAAACTCATTCTTCAATATGTCTTGAAAAACTTGACCTCTTTCCTTGAATGAAAACAAATTTCCCGTTTCGATGACTACCCTCAAAACTAAATTAGGTTTGATTAAATTATAAAAAAAATACTTTTAATTACAATTCGTCTTATATATTCACAGTTCATATTAAGTGAATTGTTGGGTATGATGCACCTTAAAAAGAAAATAAACTTTAAGGACATAATTTAAAGACTACTTTCCACTATTATCTTTTAAATTATTTCAAAACTTGCCTCTTAGAAAATATTGAGTTTGAAAGTATATTTTTGTTTGAAACATTAACATAATTATTTCCTTAGTAGTTTGTTGCTACAATTTCTATTTAGCTTGTTCCACGCATACTCACTTCACTCGCTTTCGTTCAATAGTGATTCTTCATTCTTTAGATAGCCGCATGAGAGATTTGACGTTTCATTCAGTTCAGGTCCTTATTAGTTCCCGTTGAATCGCGAGTAAAGCTTGACATCTCTACGACAGTAAACTACCTTTTGTTTTTTCTCGTGGTCCTTCTGATAAGGGTAAGGATGTAGAGTTCTAGTACATTAGTATTTTTGATAGTCCTAGTACATTAGTATGTTCGAGTTATACGTAGTTAGTTCCTCTTCTCTTTAGGTCTCTTATGTCCAGCATATTCCTTTCTCTTCTATAGTTGTACGTGTATAAATATCACACATTGTATCAATAATACTTACGCTTTTATAATCATTTCTAACTCTTATACTTTCTATCTCAAAAGATCATTCGATTTTGAAAATTTATATAGTAAAGTCATTAACTTTGTTTTGTATCAATAAAATCACTCAGCTTAAATCTTTGTATCAATAAAATCACTCAACTAAATTACCATTACAAACCAATTTGATATGACAAAATAAGTTATTTTTTATGGTTAAATAATGACAATAACTTATTGTGATCTCGCGAAGGTATATATATAATTAGTTTTTGAAAAATCCTCTACTCACAAGGATGAAAAATATCCAAATTCAATCATATGCTTGATAAGATACTATAGTATATAGATAAAATAATGAACAAGAATCTCAAACTAGACCAAATAGAAGGATTCGTCATGTTTTACTTGTTGTTCAATGAGATATGCGACAATTTTATTGAGTTTGTTTGTTCTCAAGATCTGGTTTGAATTTGTGATGGCCTTCTCTTCACCTATACAATGTGACAGTAATTTGGAAGCAGAGGCCTTGGCAGCTAAATATGGTTTGAGCAGATGTATACTTTTGAATTATAGAGACTTTACCCTTGAAGTGGATTCATTATCTCTGAGTCCGGAGCCTAAAGGCCAAAAAACAATTGCCAAAAATTCCAAAAGGATACATCAAAAATTTATTTTACCAAAAGAGCAAAATAGCTCCTGACGTAGCGATTTTCTTCTGACGCCATTACTCCGTTAAAAAAAAATTGAAAATCGCTCCAAAGGTAGCGATTATAGAAAAAAAAAGTTCTTAAAAATCGCTGCCTTGGCAACGATTTCAGTAAAAAAAAAAAAAAAATTATATAAAAAGGCAACGATTTCAGGTTTCACCAAAAAGACAATGCCGTTGGGAATGTTGAACGATCATAAGCTTCTCGTTATTGTTTTAAAAACTCATCCTTATGCTCTCAGAAAAGTCTACTCTTACCAAAAAGATGGAATATTTTCATGTGCCAAAGGAACAAGATTTAGCATCGTATGCGGCAGTGCTTGGGTTCTATTTTGAGAGCTTGGAACTTTGAAGACGGATATGGCCGGAGATACTGAAATAAACAAGTTTGTGATTACTACTTTGGTTAGAGTAGTAATGGCGCTATTAAGTGCTGGTTTGTTTTCAATTTTATTCCGTAATTACTTTGACCAACTTTCTGAAACTTTGATTAGCTTTCAAATCTCTTACATTTGGAGAATTGTTTTAGAAATATTGTTTTGTTTTAGAAAGATGCAATGGAGCTGATACTTGCAGGGCTTCCGGTCAGATCGCTGCTCCGGTTTAAGTGTGTGGCCAAATCATGGTATACTTTCCTCAAGAGCCCTAATTTTATCAAAATGCACAGCAATCATCAAATCTTTCGTATTCCTTCTGTCATTATCTCTTACCACAAAAATGATATTATCTGCAGCTTCCGGCCTGAATTTTTTCATTCCATCTTCATCGCAACATTGAACACTATAATTCCCCTATAAAGCAACAATTGTATTCACCTTTTGCTACTCATATACAATGAAGAAGATTACTTAGTTTTAAGCTGCAATTTTCCCAAAGATGCAATGGAGCTGATACTGGCAGGGGTATACTTTCCTCAAGAGCCCCTAATTTTATCAAAATGCACAGCAATCATCAAATCTTTCGTATTCCTTCTGTCATTATCTCTTACCACAAAAATGATATTAGCTGCAGCTTCCGGCCTGAATTTTTTCACTCCATCTTCATCGCAACATTGAACACTATAATTCCTCTATAAAGCAACAATTGTATTCACCTTTTGCTACTCATGGGGTGAGATTCGAGTTTTGCTACAATAGCTTCATTTGTTTTACCAAGGATATCTATAACTCACCAGTAGTTATCCTCTGGAATCCCGCTAATCGTAGATACAAATGCATCAATATACCCTCTGAGTGCTCCAAATTTACTCATCTAAAACTCGGGTTTCATCAACAAAGCAATGAATATAAAATTTTGAAAGTCCCTTTTCAGATGTTGAGGGATGATGAATCAACGAAAGTTGCTTGGGTTTATACCCTGAGTTCAGGTTCATGGAAAACCGTATCTTTCACTCTTCCTACCCTGACTGGTTCTTCGGAACCTCAGATTTTTGTGAATGGTTTTATGTATTGGCTGGCTGGACGCGAGGTGGAATATGTTATCTGCTTTGATCTGATTAATTATTTGCTTTGATCTGATTAAGGATGAATTCAAACTTATAGATATTCCTGATGAGCGCCAACTTGTTCACAGAAAGCTTATGGTTTTGAGAGGATCACTTGCGATGATGGTCACCGTTGAGGATTGTACTAAGGATATTGAGATATGGATGCTCGTGAATGAAAATAGTTCATACTCTTGGACTAAGAAGTTCAATTTAGAACCTTTCTCCGGAAAAACAATGCTGTTGGGAATGTTGAACGATCATAAGCTTCTCGTCGTTGTTTTAAAAACTCATCTTTGTGGTCTCAGACAAGTCTACTCTTATGATCTGGTTACCAAAATGATGGAATATTTTCATGTACCAAAGGAACAAGATTTAGCATCGTATGCGGCAGTGCTTGGGTTCTATTTTGAGAGCTTGGAACTTGAAGACGGATATGGCCGGAGATACTGAAATAAACAAGTTTGTCTTGAAGATGTATCAGGCTTGAGATACTAAAATAAACAAGTTTGTGATTACTACTTTTGATAGAGTAATCGTGTTATTAAGTTTGTTCCTTAATTACTTTGATCAACTTCCTGAATCTTTGATTTGTTTTATTGTGCATTTCAGTGGAAATGCCAGAACACCTTTTAAATCTGCTACATTTGGAGAATTGTTTTTGAAATATTTCTGTGTTCATTTATTAATTGCAGTAGATATATTATGATATGTTGAAAGTTTGAATTGTTTAATTCTGAATAAAATCGCTGGGCAATGATGATCAGCACATGCTATTTAAGATTTTTGTTTCTTGGAAATGATGTGATTTTCTGTGCCTTTTTTTGTGTAGATAATGTGTCAAGTAAACTTTATACGGCGGTGGTTAGATTGATTATATTGTATGGGGTTGAATGGTGGTCAGTCAAGAACTTACAAGTTCAATAGATAAAAAAATAGAGGAAGTGTGAATGCGTAAGTAGATGTGTGGACATATTAGGAGAGAAAATATTAGGAACAAAAAAATATGAGACAAGGTGAGTGTGGCCTTCGTGGCACAAGATGCGGGAATTAGTGATATTGAAATGATTCAGACATGTGAAGAGGAGGAATGGACATGATCTAGTGAGGAGGTGTGAGACGTTGAATAACAGCCTAAGGAGAGATATAGATAGACAAAGGAAAAATTGGGAAAAGGTGATTAGATAAGATAACACCTTCAGCTCACCAAAGACATGTCCTTAGACAAGAGAATAAGGGGTCGTTTGGTTTGAAAATGAGTTATGATGGGATAAGTAATGTTGGGATAAGTTATGTTGGGATTAGTTATGATGGGATAAGTTGTGTTGGGATTATTTTTTATTGAGTGTTTGGTTTGTTGTATTCAAAATAATAAATTTTAAGAACAATTTATTTGTTTACAAAAATGCCCTTCATTAATGTAAAAAGTGATATAACAAAAGGGTTGAAAGAGACATTTTTGTCATTTACCTATTTTATCCCGGGGATAAGTTATCCCGGGATTACTATACCACCCAAATAGAGGGATAACTTATCCCGGTACTAATTATTAATCCCGGGATAAGTTATCCCGAACTTGCCAACCAAACAACAAAATAAGCGGTACTATAATTTAATCCCGGGACTATATGGTATTATCCCTCACACCAAACGAGTCCTAAAGGTTGAAATTAGAATAGAGGATTAGCAGAAAGTTAGAGGCGATTTCTTTCTCTGGGAGGCGAGGTCATGATTTTATTTTAGAGCATTTTAGAACAACTTTCTAAGTGCGAAGGGACCTGTAATGACCCTCCTGGTCATTTCTGTGTCTTGCCTTTTGTGTGTCGTTTAGAGCGTTCCTGTAGCGACCCCAAATCATTTATGACTTGCTGGGACTGACAGTTTGGTCACCTGGTCGTTCGTTTGGTTATGGTGCGAGTTTTTGTGTTTTGGAACTTATGAACCTTGAACGATCATTTTCGATCAAAAGTTCAAGAAGATGACATCGGAATCCATTTATGACGATTCCATCAGCTCCGAAAGGGTCATTTTAGGCTAGTAGCATGGTCGGCATGACTCCCGAGATTTTCAGTGTGGGTCGGTGCGATTAGGCGTTTTAACTTTAAGTTTAAGACTAAGTTTGACTTTGGTCAACATTCTGAGTAAACGCGCTCGGATGAGAATTCCGTCAGCGTGGTTAGCTCCGGAATGTCAAGTTTTGTCTAGATTGACCCTTCTTTTGTGTCTCGAGGTTTTTGATATTTTTCTGAGCTCTTTTGTGGGTCTTGACTTAAAATGACATTTGGGTGTGAGACCCACTTTTTGTCAAGATGACCTCGTATGGAAATTTTGACTGTGCCATTGAGTATGAAATATCGAATTTGATATGGTTGCATATCTCGTTTGCGTGCACGGGGTTCCGAATGAGATCGGAGTACCCCGTCGGAGTTTTTAGTTTTTGGAAAGTTATTGCAGAAAAATCTACTATAAATGCAGAAACAACAACAACATTTTCCAAACTTAAAGCCCTCATAACTCTCTCATCTTTCAATCGAATTAGGCGATTCGAAGTGCGGGAGTTTTGTATTTTTGGTAGCTTCGCTGTAGAGTGTTCGGAAGTTGTTGGGTGTGCGTAGTTCGAGGTAATTTCCCGATAAACCTGACTGTTGTACCCTTTTTTGAGCTTTTGTTTTTGGCATTCTTTTTTTGGTCATATTTCCCTCATTTTAGCTCGGTTTTGGGTGATTCGAAGTCATACATGTTGGAAATTGTCGTGGCTTCGTTGTAGAGTGTTCAACGAGTGTTGGGTACCATTAGATCCTTTTAGATTTCGAGTTTAGACTGCTGTAGGTTTTCTTTTAGTTTATTAAAGTGTGATTTTCTTGCTTATTGGTTTTTGCTGCGTTATGAGCCTCGAATTGTGTTCCATTTTGGAACAAAAGTTCAGGGTACTGTTTAGGGTCTCTTGACGGAGTCAAATTCGGACAATTCGATGCGGGTCCCACAATTCCCGTTTTGACTCCAAAATTGACCCGTCTTCGTTTGTTGTAATTTTGGTGTCTAAATGACTGTTATAACGTTGTGACTCTATTTTTTATAGCAGGGCAACGTTTCGAGGCCGTTCGGAAAGGGAAAGCTCCGGAGAAGTGATTTTGGAACGCGTGTGATCGGCCTACATGTAGGCTACGGCTTCCCTCTCTTAGATTGAGCTCGTGAGTGTGATGGCATGTTGATTAGTTGGGATTTGGGTTGGTAGTTATTGAATCATGCATAGGTGTTTAGAAATCATGTTTCGGCCCCTTTCGAAAATTATCGGGTAACTGTAAGCATGCTTTGTGTTATTAATTGACTCTCTTTGCTATGTGGAGTACTTGTATGCTTGATTACCGTTTATTTGAAACATGTTGAGCCTTAGTTTAGGTTTAACTAAGGCTTGCCCTAGAAATGCATGATTCAGAACCGATAGGCCTTAGTTTTGCCTCGGCATTGCTCGGCCGACTTAGATCCCTGTAGATTGGTGTAGCGGACTTGAGTTTGATAGTTTGGGCCTTAGCTAGGCGATACGCTTGCTCCGATGATAGTTATCCTTATTTCCCCAATGTTACGGTTTCACGAGTTACGTCGGTGACACTAGTTCTGCTTCGCGATTTGAATTTGATTTTCGATTTGATTCCAAGGACTTACATTGATTGGCTAAGTGTGGATGGTGTTCCACGGACATTTATGAGCATAGATTGATTAGGACTCTTTCAGCAGCTACATTGGCACCTTTGTAGAGCATCCGGTTTAAGGACCGGCCTCTATTGCCCAGATACTTATATAGAGCATCCGGTTAGAGTTCCGGCCTCTA